TGTGGGGAAAAAATTCACATTACAAATCTTTTTGACAGGACGAAGTCTGTCGGGTCCGCTAGTTATATTATAAAATAAGTAATAAATAATAAATACAGAAGTATGTATATACATATGAACGCCAACATACGCATGAACACAATTTTGCTTCATGACAATACAGTTTGCAGCACATTTTTGTCGCCATACTTAGGGACATATTCCGCGTAACTTTATCACGTGACTGCTTTTGTGTGCGTCAAGTCACGTAATAACACTAGTTAATTCTGGTGAAATAACGTATTTCACCAGTACTTTAGCCTAATGTTGGTGTTTGCCTAAGCACAAGGTCTCAGAAATCGGTTAATAGCTAATTCGCTAAGTAAAGAGACTTCACTCTCTATGACACATGTGTCATACACAACTAATCGAAAAGCGACATTATGCGATAGAGGCTGAATAAATGTCATGGCATAAACGCTACATACGAATTAAATGAGAATGTGTTGACTGATGGTCGTCGTGTCTAATAACGATGCCTTATTTTTCATGGTGAGGCTGAGGCTAGCGCCTCCACCTGACCACGTGTACTGCGCTGCGCTCCTTTCGCTATCTAGGAGAGAAAGAGGGTACCACTCGAGCGGCGAAGCAAGCGGTTAGAATTTAACTCGGAGACCTCTTTTAGGCTTGGGCATGATAGAAAGAAGTGAGTTCGAACGGCCCACCGATTTTTGCTCGTTCTCTGTACAGCACGAACCATGTGAAAAAAACACGATGACTGAAAAGACAAACCATACGTTTGCGCCATGTTGTGTGGAAACCGAGAAGAATTGAAAAAAAATTGAATGTGGAATAAAGTGATAATTTTCAACGAAAAGTAGCAGATGAAGGTGTCTTTGAAATAAAATATCCAATTATTTTTTTTAATTTTTCATATAGCTTCTATCTGTTTTAATGACATAACAAGGTGATAGTTTTGGAATCTGGTGCCTTGGCGCTTGGTATTCCTCATCTATGTCTTTCCATCACGGGCGTGAGGAACATGCAGTAAATCTACAACATACGACAGCCGGTTGTAATTCCCATCCGAAAAAAAGCGAACAATGTTTTTTTTTTTCTCCTTTAAAAATCCACGGTTTCGATCTAATTTGATCCCGCAAACTGGGGTATAACAGTCCGATGTGCTAACCGCCACAGCACTAAAGCCGCGTACATTACTGCTGACGTCGTAACCGTAGCAAAGCGAATCAAAACTTCTGATCTTCCAAAGTGTTGTCTCCTCCAACGAATGAATCGGATGGTTCGATGTCGCATTTAATCATCTCATCGAGATTGCAATGGTGTAAGGGTGTAAGAATAATTATGATAAAATGTGATGCGTCAACGAGAATTGTGAATAGCGTGTGATGTTAATTTCGTTGGCATATAGTAATCCTAACGTGATAGCGTGATCCGCGGTACGCTTGCCCCCTACACGTCAACTGCCGATCACACTCATTCGGGACGGCTGGACTTAGCACAGAGCCAGCGTCACCTCCGCCCTCATTTTCAACGCTAACTACAGAGTTATGTCGCATTAACCCGCCGCCAGAAATTCTGTCGGCTGGCTGCTCTGATCGGTAGTTTTCCGTGGTTTCTCCTCTCAACACGAAGGCAATTTCGAAGAAGTGTAATAACATACCAGCCTCAAACCTCCTTCCACTTCCTTGTCCTATCAGATCTCCTCAGCACACTTGCACGCATTTCACGTGTCGGTAGTCAAGAACTTGCCCCGCGAGGGGAGATTCATGGAAGGGGACATCTCCGCAAGCCAACGATTAGGTCTGCATCGGATCTCACCAGCCGAAGGGGAATGAATCTCTGCTACCTCCCGGGATAAAAGATTCACTACACAAATGGAACTCACAACAATGTTAGTTGACGTGTTCGAAAACATTAATCAATCATTATAATTTTCTAATCTTAGAGCATTTAAGGAATTGTTTCGCTGTTTCTCTTTGCGCAGACCTCTTTCACCGGCGTCAGTGCAAACTCTTTGTCTCCCGCCTCTTCTGGAGCCACCTCGGCCGCCCACGCCGCCGCCGCCGCCGCGCCTTCCAGCCAGGCGCTCCAACGTCAGCAGCAGTACCTGCAACTGCAACTCCAACAGTACCTGCAGCAACAGGGGCAGCAGGTGAGTGAGACTCTTTGACACTTTTCATCCAATTCCTGTGGTTCAAAAAAACAACAATAAAGCTGAACGATTTTTAACTGAAAATCCAGGCTCAAGTACCCTAAGTTAAACGGGTATTCGTTAATTACAAGAATTTATTAGAAGAAAATGAATTAATTCATTTAGAGAGTATGAATTCATTCAGATTGATGTATTTGTCCTAAAACCGATGATTTCAAAACACATTCTTAATTATATAAATAAAATTTCCAGGATCTCATTTTTATGCGGATTTCTCGCAATCAATAGCCATTGACAACTGTCACTGTTCAGGTCCTCAGGTGACATGAAACAGTTTGCTACTCGCAACCATTCTCCAGTGTTTATTTACTAGGCTGTCCGGGTGACGCCGCGTCCATGGCGAAGGTGCCGACGTTTCGGTCGCCATTCTGCGACCTTCCTCAGGGTGAGCTTGCACATGTGGTCGGGCATTTCGGGAATTATGGCATGAGATGCTTGCAGGAGAGGCAGGACCCCTAAACCTCCCTGATGTTGCAATTGCTGTTCAGATTGCCCTTAATACGAAAGAGGCGAGATTGCTCATTGTAGCCAAAAGCGCCCCAAACTATCGCACTTGGCATTTGTCCGCTATGGCTCTAAACTATTCAGGATGGCACATTGCGATCACCACTGAAGCATTGAATGAACACGTCCACGTGTCCATTGCTGTCTGAGGCGTTGATGGCGTTTGATCAATGGAATTCGACGCAGTGGAATGCGCGCTACCAGGCTGCCCTCCGCAGACGGTTAAGCCGCCGTGTAGGACGGCGCCGGGTCTCGCCTTAAGCGCTAATGAACGGCGCGCTTCCTGCGCAGGAGTACCAGGCGCAGGCGCAGGCGGCGCTTCCTGCGCACGCGCAAGTGCAGCCCGTGCGCTACCAAGTGGTGCAGGGCGCGCCCGCCGACGGCGCCCTGGCGCACGAGTACCTGCTGGCCGCCAAGCAGCAGCAGCAGCAGCAGCAGCAGCAGCAGCAGGCGCTGCTCCAGCAGAGCGCAGCGCACGCCGCGGCGCCGCCGCAGCAAGTGCAGTACGTCTACCAGGTGCGTGGGAGCGGCTTGCACGGGCCAGGCGGGCTCTACAAAATCTTCACAGCCTTCACAACATTGCGCTATGTTTAACTTTATGTAAAAGAGTGGGATCTATTGTTGTTTTCTATTTGTTATGTCATGTCAAATCAAACTCTTACCTCTGTTCTTATTGGAGGCTTTAGCTATAACAACAACAACAACAATTATTATTATTATTATTATTATTATTATTATTATTATTATTATTATTATTAGTATTATTAAAGTGTCTCAATGCGTAGCGCGCTGACTTTGCGGTCGTATCCGGGTTCGATCCCCGGGCCCGTCATCCTGACAAGGGTTTTCGTGGTTTCCCTCGGTCGCACAGGCGAATGCTAGGATAGTTAAAAAGCCATGATCCCCTCTCATCATCATCCTATCACCTCAATACGCATAATTCAAGGCTTAACAATCTTGCCTTACGAAGAGATACAGCCGAAAAGCTGATTCTTACACACGTTAATCACTCTCCAGGATTGAATATGACGGTGGCCAAAAATAATTAACAAATGGTGGGAAGTTTTGTGTAAGGAAGTTGCAAATGTCGCTCACATTGCTAGGCAACTCAACAGACATTGGTGTTAGGCAACTATGCGAAATCTCAGGTCGTGACCTGCGAAACCTCAATGCATAATGAGTCATATACCAATCAAGAACAAATATCACATATGTAATTCCGTTATATAAAATTTCGCACTACATGTTTTTTGGCAAAAAATTATTTTTTCTTTTTTTTGCCCGTGACACATTTATTCGTTCACGAACTTCATTTCCAAAAAATAAGTTGTAACGAAGCTCCTGATTAGATAACCGCGTCCAGATGACAAGTCACTTTATTTAAATCAGTCAATAAGGCCACCAATAGATTTATGTCCTTTAATGATGTTGTTGACAACATTGTTTTATTTATTTAATCATTTGGTTGTTTCCTAACGATGTCAAAAATAATCGTTTAATATGTTATTAATGATACTAAAAATAATGAATTTAATTCAGACAAACTCAGTTCATTTAATTCAATTCAAATGAATCCAACATCATAAATTTAATAAGCACGTGTTCACCCCTTCCACAGACTCAGCCGGCTGAGAACATCAGTTAATGTCAATTAAAGCTCCATGGTTTATACCTAACCACCAAATTCATAGAGAACTCCAAATGGAAACAAGTGCTCGAACACATTAAAAAAGTGGCAAATAATTTCTATTCTTCCCTTCCCTCATCTCATTCCGCTCTGAAATTTCACCTAGGTCGAACAGCAAACATCCCAAGCAAGAATCCAAATTTCCTAAAAACATGCTTAAACTTCCCTAAACCAATAATATTATCCCGTATCTATATAGAATCTTTCATGCTCCCTTACTATTGCTCGATAGGGCAAACCTAACAGCTTACCCCCCCCCCAAAAAATCAAAAATAAATCCCAGCAGCTTCTAAAAGAAAACAAACGAATTAAACGAGCCAGAGCATCTAATCTCAATTTGTCAGGAATGCCTAAATCCCAAAATGTCAGTATGTAAAACCGAACCCCTCGAAAGACCTTTGATCGAACGAGAAGAAATAAATTTTTAAAAAATCAGTTGATGTCACTGCAGTGCCTCCGACCAGGAGGTCGCGACATTGGCAGAATGTTCGACACTAGCTACGCAGCTAGATCGAATTCAGCCACGCACTGTCTGGATGATAATTCTTAGCGGCCGGCTGCTCTGATCGGTAGTTTTCCGTGGTTCCTCCAATTAACATCAGGCAAATGCCGGAACAGAGAAATGGGCGACGAACAGCCCCCGATATTTTCTTCCTCTTCATTGCAATATCCTTACCCCCTACTTACACTCGTATGCAGACCCGTCGGGAGCTTGACCTAATAGTAGCGGTGCCATGCTGATGAGAGATACCTGGTTGGGAAAAGCCCAGTAGTCGACGTGTAGGTCGGCGCCGGATCTCGCCATCCAGCCGGGGAAGATCATCACCACCTCTTCTGGTTAAAATACGTGCGGTACATTACGGTAATCCTTACGGTACGTTACAACAATCTTATCAGTTGGCGTGCCCCGTAACAGGAAATAATTAATCAATCAAGTTACGTGTTTTGGTCACGTGATTGCAGAACGCTAGTGTACACAAAAGGGTCTTTTGAAATCGACGAGACGCCCTCCGCTCTCCGCTTCTTGAGGTTGGGGAATCCCCCGCCAGCCGACGAGTAGGTCGGTGCCGGAAGTGGTGATGCAAGAGGGGAAGATCGACGCCATCTACTGCGATTTAAAAAAACATGCACCGCATTTACGGAACCACGTAGCACTTGCCTCCACAGGGAACATTAATCGATCGATACCCTTCGAGTATATTACTTTAGTTTATTTTGCTTATTCATTTTGTCGATTCATCACCATAGTAGGTTAGTTGGTTTTCCCTGTCACTTATTTCCTTAAAAAAATAACTTAATAAAAGTAAACTCAAACTTGAACAAATATATTCCAATCCCACTGGCCAGTCGGCGGGGAGAGCTGCCCTAGGTTAACAGTTACCCCAATTGTTGGTAATTCCCATATGCATTGAAACTTCTAGCGAGAGTTACAGTAGGGGCAGGGCTCTCTTCTTTGCCACGCTGCCGCTTGCAGCGTTCCATGTGTAAAAAGAGTTTTTAATGAATTAAACGATAACGGTTTGTCTCCGTTCGGTTGGGTGTGGCCCGCAGTTGCCTCGTTCGTCCGACCGGGCGCCGCCGCGCCGCCGCGCGCGGTCCGCGCGCCGCGCCGCCGCCGCCGCCGCCGCCGCGGGCGCTCGCCAGGCGTCTCGAATCGCGGCGGAAGTCGACGTGCGCGCACGGCGCCCGCCAAGCATTACACCAGCAGGCGAGTTCGTCGCCGCCGCGGCGCATGGCCTCCCTACTCGGCCGGGGGCTTCGTGCCCAGCTCCTCGCTCACCGCCGCTTCGCTGCGCCACCACCCCAACCAGGGCGTCAGCTACAGCCACTACCGCCGCGGCAGGGGCGGCCTCTGAACTAACCCACCACCGCCATCTTTGATTCATCGTTGACAGATGCAGTAAGGCAGTTTATACTTGGGGTTTTATAACCTGGCGCGTTAAAGCCTGTCTTCGAGATGGAATATCTCACGACATTTAGGGTCCTTCTCGGCCGTGCCGCTAGATATCGCGCCCCTATCAAGCAGTGCGATGTGTCTAGCGGCACGACCCAGAAAGGCAAAATGCCAAGAGATCGTGGTGACAGGCCGGCGCGCCACGTTATAAAAATCCAAGTATAAAGACCAGTGAGCTCTAGGGTTGCTATAATGTTGAGATCACTGATAGTCATGGGTGAGCCATTGCACAGATTATCCGCCAGTGAGCTTCTGCACCAGTTTGCATCACAATATTAGCGGGAATAGTAAAAGCCACCAGTTATCACAATCACTTTGATACAAATCATTGAAATATTTATAAGAAGCATTTTTTTAATATTGACTTTTTCGACTGCACCTTTATCGTGTTATTTTTGGTTGCTCACCGTTGACAAATTTTACTTTATGCCTCTTTAAATATGTTTCTCAACACTTCTCACTCGTTTGGCAACATGGCGGCCAGCGTCGGGCCTGGTGTTTCAAACGAAGTGCCCATATTGTGGTCCTGTAGTTGGTGACGGTGCTGCGTAAAATGAGCAACAATCGGTTCGTCGGCGCAGCTCACCCATGCCTTTTCCTCGTGGTATAAATACTTTCGACCGCCTTCTTAGAGCCGTCACTGACAGCACTAGCAGTATTTTTGTCTTCCATCTTTGAGCCTTTACTGACAGCTGCCCTAAGCATTATGTCTTGTCATTCGCCCTCATTTGCACATCTCTGACAGCTACAATAACGTAGCCGCTTTAAACACAGCATCATACATCAACATGTTTTATGATAATCGAACCGGACTTTTGCAAACAGTCTGCACTTTCTAAATCATTTCAAAATTGAAAAGTGCTTCATATCTCAGGTCTCTACCGGCTCTAAACTTTGTGTTACATCACGTAGGTCAGATAGTATGTGTATTTTAACATGTGTATATTACCTTGCGTTTCTCAATTCGTGCGATTACATTGTACAAAATATCAGTGCTGTTTCACATAATTTCGAGAATCCGAGTGTTTCGCTGGTCGTGGAAGAGAGTGAGGGCACCGAAAATAACATTTCTCCAGAAATGTAATATAAAGGCACAAAAAGTGTGTCTGGAGCCCAAAAAGGGGTTTGAGAACGTAGTTTTGGAGTAATGCACGATAAAAGTGGGTTGCAATGTAAGTGTTGCGGGTTGCATCGTGCATACTGATTTATTTTTTATCTACGCGTAATCTATACAATTCTACATTTTCCAGCTTTAAAATGGATTATGCATCGACGAGAAGTGTTTCTCTATCTAGTAGTAGCACATATTCGTTTTGTTGTTGTTTGCGTATGTGTATGTCGATGGCTTCTTATAAATTGTACAAAACCCCCATATTTCCTTAGCGTAGTAAATTTAGATAATATATAGAGAAGGAAAAGGGAAAACATATTGCTATCCTTCTGTATATCTCTTCCGTTTACTCGAAAAACATTTGCGATGTCTTTCGGACACTTACATTCTTACCGGAACATCTAAACAAATAAAGCATGTAGCAATTCCATAATGTGATCACACCAAATACACAAACACTGCAGGTATCATACTGCAGCTGTCAGAGATGGCAGCTGCAATATGATATCTGCCAAAATGGCAGTTAGAATACCTACATTTCGGCTGAGAGAGCCGGCCTCATGTAGAGCAGGTTTACAAAGAGCTCTTTCACATTTGCAAACTTTTTACAAGGAACCGTTTATCAAAAGGTTCGCTGACTACCACCAAATCGGGGAGTCTCTACTGTGGGGTTGGAATCAAGATGGCCTGTATGAATGACAGCAGTTAGTCGAACTCACTCCACAGAATCATACGGTGAATGAGAACTTATCTCAGCTAAGTGA